TTCTTCTATTAGTAGTCAACGACATTGCATATCAAGTGTCATTCATAATAATGTGTAACACTAAAATTTATCAATCTTAAAAAAATTTCGGCATGTTCGCAAACAACTTCTCTATATTAAACAAAAACAAAAAATATAAAGCTATTCCAGAACTTTCAAACGACTATTAAAATAAGAGGCGAGCTTAAATTTTGATTATTCTACGATAGGTTAAAAGTATTGCTTTCGTTGGCACTCATCTCAAGGTTTTCTTACAACTGGAAGCAAAAAACATGTGAATAGGAACTAGAAGACTAGATGAAAAAAATTTTGACTTGAAAGAATCGAAATTCTAGTTGATAATAAGATATTTATTTCAAAAGTCATTATATGTTAAATGCGTCCAGAGCTATTCAAATTGTATATTAGAGTAAGTATATTGACAACATACATATTATTAAATAATTTATTATTGGTGGAATCTTTACCAAATCAAAAAAGATGGTATTTTTTTTTATTTTATATTCAGGAAATAACACGCATTAACTATTTATCATTAATAATCTTTTGTAATTTATTATCATTATAGGGCTCATACAGCTTCGCTGGTGGATAATTAGTAAGTAATTCCTCATAATGAATTAATAATTTTTTTTTTTATGAAAATACAAAAAATTAAAATTAAAAATTCATTTTTTTTAAAAAGTTTATATATTTACGGAGGTAGAACCGCTATACCAGGTGAAAATTATGACTCACTCAATCCTGATTATGATACAGACGAAATATTATATTTGGATATTTCAGTAGAATTTAATCCGGCAAGTCCAAAATGGAAATCAATAACAGGAATTGCCCCACCGCTCGCATTTCATAGCATGTCAATTGGAGGCGAAAGTAACGAATTATTAATAATATTTGGAGGTACATCTAAATACACCATACCACCAAATACATTATATATATTTAACACAACAAGCAGTACGAAAGCAACGAATTCTCCGACAACGGTAAATGTTAAAGGCTCAATCGAGCATACTTCGATTACGAGATATAACGATTCAATGGTCTTTATATTTGGTGGAACTAGTCAAATTATTACTAATGATAATGCAACTGATATAGTTATTGATGCATTCAACGATATGCACGTGTTAGATTCTAAATCAATTACATTCAACACAATTTCTCCCTCAAATGGGGTCTTTCCATTGGGGGTTTATCATCATAGTTCAACTTTATTAAGTGATAATAAAATTTACATTATCGGTGGTGTTGATAAAAATGACGCTTTCATGCCAATGGGATCAATCAACATATTTGATACTATGACAAATCAATGGTCGAATCAGGTTAATAAATATTTTGAATTTCTAGTAATAAAATTATTTTAAATGATTTTAAATTAATTTTATTTACTATCGCTATCTAATAAATTATTTCTTTGATATAAATACATTTTGGGTCAGAATGCTACAGGGGCGATTCCAATTGATAGAAGAGTTCATCGGGCTGTTGGAAGTAAGTTTAATTATGAATTTATTATATTTATATCCATATCAATATCCATATCCATATCCATATCCATGTCCGTATATTAACAATATTTAATTTATTCATAGCAAACGATAATAAAATTATCATTTATGGTGGATGCAATAAAGATTATTCTATAAATTATTCTGATTTAATAGTTCTTGATACAACTACACTTCAATGGACAGCTCCCGCTACTCAAGGAACTCCTCCCCCACCAATGTATGCTCATACAATGACAATGGTTGGAACAAATGTTATAATAGCATTTGGTAATATTAGTAGGCAAAATTTAATTTTAATATTTTTTTTTTTTTTTTTACAAAAAATTCAAAAAAAATTAATAAATTTTTAATTCATTCTTTATTAATACTAAACTCATAGGTTTTATTTCGGTAAGAGTTATTTTATATATTTAATATGAAAAAACAATATATTTTTAAAATTAATAAATATTAATAAAATGTTTAGGGTTTCGATACAACACAAGATATTTACATACTTGATTCCACCAATTATACTTGGATGCCAACTTATGTACCTAATAATCTTGAAATTACCAATACAAAACCAATTAATGCATCTTCTAATGACCCTTCATCATCGCCGTCATCGCCGTCATCGCCGTCGTCGTCGTCGTCGTCGTCGTCAAATCAAATAGGTGTAATTGTAGGTTCAATAATAGGCTCGTTGGCTGCAATTTTTTTGATTATAATCTTGGTAATTTGCATACGTAAGAAATATAAGAAAAAGGGTTCGTTTTTCACAAAACCTTATGAACAGAACCAACCTTCAGTGCCACCTATTTCAGGTACTATTCCTTATAATCAGTTGCCAACAACAATAAATAATCAAGATCCAGCGGGACAACTACCTCCTACAATGTCACACTTTGTCAGCAAGTCAAATGCAGGTTCTGATAAGGGTAGTACAATAACCAATAATGAGCATAATGAATCTTACTACAACAACAGTTCTTCTAGAAACAGTTCAAAAACCAACTCGAATAGATTTAGTGTTATACCTTATCTTGATAATCCTTATTACGTCGATAAGGATACCACAGATCCAACACCAATAGTCAACCCTACTTCATCATCATCATTATCTTCTTCGCCTAGCAATAAAAATCTTGTTAATGAACATGACGATGATGATGACAATACGAGGGCAACAAGTGAAATAAATGATTTATATGGTTATAGTAGTCAATTAAATTATAGTAACAACAATAGCGATTATTATTCAGAAAAACCTCAACCTCCAACACCTCCCTCAAAATATGATGATGATGATGGATATCCACAATCAAATAGACTGTCTGCATCTTCCAGTCTCTATGCGCCTTCACGCCCTGATTCTCCTCCCTCAATGAATCCTCCGATTCTACCTTCTTCTACTGACACCTCGTCGTTCTCCTCATCAAATGAAAATAATGATGAAATAGTGAGAGTAACTGATAACGATTACGACAATGATAACGCTGCCCCGATATTTTCAATTTCTCCTAGTGAAGAAGCCGGAATAAAAGAACCAAGAAAAATTGAAAAAAGAGCTTTTAGTTTAAGATCAGCACAAAGACTTAGTAG